AGAGAGAGATTAGCCAGCGAATTCTTGCTTTACAGAGATATTGTAATGAAATTCTTGTAAACGAACCGACGAGCGTGTGACACCCAAGACTGTTTGTTATCTGTGTGTGTCTAGTATAATATGCTAATATAATTGCGCAAATCTACCTAATTGTTGCATAATTTTTTTTTATAATATCAAACCTAGCCTAATCATTCATCATAGCCCCAAAGAAGTGAGCACATCCGTTAACTGATCTGGACTGATGAATGCGCAATTCCCGATTTTTGTCCATAAAAATTGCGTGGCTTGAAAGAGACGTCGGACCATGGGTGCTCCAAAATAGGACGGTTTACATATGTGTGAGCATAAGCAGTAACAACTATACCAATTTCAACACATGTGGGTCAAACGGTTCCTGAGTTATCGTTGACCGTGGAGCCAGATATTGACAGGACGGAGGCCTACGGAACGAGACGACGGAACGACCCAGGAGGGTGGGCAGATAGGCTCGAAGTGTTTGTGTGTGAGCGATGTCAGGGGGTGGGAGCTAGAAAAATGCGTATCCACATCGGAGCCGCCTCGGGCGTGCCAGCGTGCCAGGGTAAAGTGGTTAAAAGGACGTTGCCGACCGAGCGTCGGGCGAACTAGGGCTAATGATGTAATGCTTGTGGCAAACATGGCTGTAGAACAGGTTAATAGAACGTTGAAAACTGGATCAACTCGTCGACTTTTCGGTAGTGAAACCAAGAATAAGAAATGATTACTACCACCTGTTGCTTATTCTCGGCACTGCGAATGTCAAGCACAATGTAGCCGATCTGATCCTGCGTCTTGGTCTTGCGATTGATCGCATAGCACTTGACTCGGATCGGCGTTCGCTGTAGCTTGTGTTTGTGGAGGTCACGCGTCGTCAGCTGCCAACCGAGCTCGCTGTCGTTCTGTGGCTGCTCACCATGAGCGATTGGATCTGTGCGCATCTCCTCGCCATTGAACTTGGCCGCGATGACGATGTCATGCTGAGGACGCCGTGGAAAGTCCCGACCTGTAAGCACATACATGCGAGACCGCCAATGATTATAATTGCCAAATAATAATACACTGTGTGGTAAGCATGCATATTTATTTATGCATTTTAAATGTAAAGACAACATTTTACCTTGTTCTACTTTGATTCATATCGCAACTATATTACTCAGGGCGCGAAATTAGCACCGGCCCACCGGCATATGCCGGCAAATTATTTGGAGGGCCAGTATCATCGGCAAAACACCGGCCCTCCCAGCCGGTGATTTCAGCCGTGTTAGCGAGTACGTAGGGCCTACTTACATCTTTATTTATGGCATGAATGAGCAAATAGCCTACCTTACTGTTTCACCTGAAGGATATCACGCCACAATTTATCAACATTTTACAAATTTGAAATCGAGAATGCAAGCGTGAAACATAACATTGACAAAAACACTTCGAACATCATTCACGATCTGCATTATAGTCTGTTCAACAGCTACTATGCGATGCCGCACACTACAACATTTTTCGGACAAGCAAGAGTCATGATCAGTGAAACAGTCTTATCTTTATTTTTGAAAATTTGTGAGGGCTGGTAAATTATGGTGAGGGCTGGTAAACACCTACTGCTACCAGCCCTCTGGGCCAGTGCAAAAAAATCTGGATTTCATGCCCTGATTACTACATTTTGTTATCTTAAATGATAAGAACCTATTCTTACACCTAGGAAAAACAAAGCATTCTTTTTTGGATCTAAGAAGAAACTGAGTGAAAATCCCAAGTTAAGCATCACACGTATTGGTGCGGAAATTGATTCCAAAAATACAGTTAAGACTCTAGGAATAGACCTTGATTACACCTTGGAGTAATCATTCTGACTGATGATTACTCCAGAATAATTACTCCAAAACTACACTAAGAGTGGCGAGATAACTGTAAGTAAGATTGTAAAAAAGGTTTAATCAACAGACTGAAATATCTGTAAACAAAAGTAATATATACTTGAAAAAATCATGTGAAAGGTTACTCGTTTCTACTTTGATTCAATGTCATTTTGACTATGCGTGTATTATCTAGTATAGTGCAAGTGTGTCAAAATATCTAGACCCATTGGCAATGCTTGAAAGTAACACTCGCTGGTAGAATTCTGTGAGGGCTAGTAGGTAGATGTGTAATGATAAACTATAGTCTCGATGCGATAAGTATCTCGATACGTAGGTCGCAATACAATACGATCGCCATACACACACAGAAAGAGAGATATTGTAAATTTCATACTGGTACTCTGTATTATGCATATAATTATGTGAAAGCCATAGAAATATATTGTAAACAATCAGTTACCATATATATATATTTCTATGGCTGAACCACACTAAGACATTTTGAGTGTGTGCTAGACTAACCTGTTATGGATAGCTCCACTCACATGCACACCATACGCTGCTACAGTCTGTGCCCAGTAATGCCACACACCAGCCAATCACTACAAGTGTAGTTGTACACGTGTACAATACAAGTGTGCCCCACATATTAACCCACATTTCCATGAGAGCCGAGGATATTTATGTGATACTGAGAGAAAGTTCATAAAATAAAATAAATAATTAAATTTAAAAGAAACTACATACATGTGCTTTATTAAATAGTTTAGCTTGCCTTATGCACTGTTTAACATCCGTATCGTTTGTATCAGGGTGAGAAATTAATGGGAGTCCGGAGTTAAATACTCCCCGATTTACTGTCGGACTCCCTGATTTGACATATATGCAGGAGTCTGTGTGACTCCCTGAAAATTCTGCCATACTAACTAGTTCGTTCCGGAGCACGGCGTCGCGGAATTACTGTATTTTTTCAGCTAATGTCCAAAGAAAATTTGGCAGACGTGCAACTGCATGAATCTTAAAAATAAGCACATGTATGCGTTATTGTTAATATCTTTAATTTTGAACCTCAGACTGTGGACTTCATTTTGCTGCGGACTCCCTCTATTTGAGGGTAATGAGTCCGTTGGACTCCCTTGTTCAAAAGTTAATTTCTGTCGTACCCAAACTTGGAATCTGCACAATCTCGAGATTGTGCAGCGATTGTGCTGCCCAAACTGCGGATTCCCTAGTTTGGCTGACCAATCTCAAGATTGGGCAAACTGAAAACAGTCGGTGATTCAACAACCGCTCAGAGCGAGTGTGTGGTGTGCATGGTGCAAACTAAGAAGAGATTAACTCATATTTACCCAATTATTTATTATAATCATTTAATATTTATACAAAGGTGCCAAACACATTGAGGAAAGAAGGTATATACGACCTTATAGTTATGATATAACATTTGAAATCCTAATAATCATATGTATATATAATATTTAATGCTAAAAACATCAAAGCGGTATAGCGCGATCTACGCGTCACAAATAGTGAATTCATCTTCTGTTTACTAAATTATTTATAATTATACTACTAAGATATTTATTATTTCACATAAAATTATCACACTATAAATTATAAGACTATATAATGGGAGTTCTCCCATATATACTCTTCGTTTCTATACATGTACGTCGATGATTGCTCAATTAACACCCTGACTTCTTACTTCACGTCACGTTCATTTGTGTCCTGATTTTTTGGGGATCTACAGTGTCATTGACACCCTTCATTGTGGCAATTCGACCAGGCCATATAAGCATGGTGGTGGGTTGACGCTGAATCGCAAAACGCATAGTGCAAATAATCTTCCTCTTGTGAGCACATACCATCCTATGTTATTATCTGAGTGGCTGAATGGGCAAAAGCTAGTCCACTTGCCTGACCAAAAGTCTGAGAAAATAGAACATCTCCTCATGTTCTAATCTTCAATTAGTTGAGGCGCCAATTTTCATTGAACCCGCTTTCGTTATCTAGTTGAAAGTACTGATCAATTTATTCACGGGAAATTGATAGTAGTACGAACCTAGCTGAAGCTAGTCCTTGTATGCGGAGCAATCACATTACAAAGAAAACGCAATTACACTTAGAGTTACGTTAATCCTCAGTTCACACTAGTTATCCGTAATATCAAATGGAAATTCAGTTCCTGTGTTAATGGTTCGTCGCTTGACTCAGTATTCTAATTCAAAAGTCAAACTATTAAACACTCGTTTTTAGCCTCACCGTGACATCGTCAGACCTAGGCTAGTTGCCCATGGTCCCCGTCGTCCGTTGCCGTACCTCCGTCCGCCGTAACATTTGTTTCGTCCAACGATGAACTCAGGAACCGTTTACGCCACATGTTTGAGAATTGGTTTAGTGTACTGCTATGCTGCACCATCTGAACGTCCTATCTTGGAGGCACGCCATCGGCGGTACTTTCGAGCGCACGGCGATTTTGAAAAATGGAAATTGCCATTAGTCAGTTCAGGTTGAACGATTTGCTCCATTTTTGGTCATTTGAATGAATAAGGGCTAGGGTTTTTGCATACTTTTTTTTGCTTAAAAAAAAAAAAAAATTAATTTGCAAACAAAATTTTTAGGTTAGGTTTATGCCAATTTATCAAAAACGCAGCTAACAAACAGTCTGATGGCTTGTCAACCCCTCGTCTTGTTCGTGTTACAAGATTTTCATTGACAATATCTTTAATGCAATATGGTATTCTCCTCTCCAGCCTGCCTGATAAAATGTCTATATTAGAGTAAAGGTTCTTACAAAAGCATGTCGGAAACGTCAGCATAATATATTTATTCAAATCCAGTTGCGTACAAAGGCTCGGGTATACGCGCCATCTACCGTCACAGAATTGTGATTCATTTTGGTCTTATAAACTATATATTGGGCGATATAGGATCAAGGGCAAACCGTTGTGCTACCGCCTAGAAAAACTCAATACAAGTAACGCTTCCATCAACCAATTCCACCTTTGACAAAAGTTGTGTTATGGGCAGGGAAACACTATTGTCCACGTCGTACATAGCGTACGTAGGAACATAAGCGTATCCTCTCAATCTTACACGTTACACATCACGAGCCCCGCTTTATAGGCATTCCATAAAGTCTGAAATATTATACCAAAACGTTATTTGTGGTGAGCTACAGTCGTCGCATTGACACTTTCATTTTAGAACTTGTTATCTTCTAAATTTAATGTTTTACATTGCATATTTTCTTAGAAACTCCTTATCATACCTGTCTTAAAATGTAATTGGTGGACCAGAGAAAAATGGTTAAGCAGTCGCCGATCTTCCTTTACATGTCCAAAATGGATCAAGGTTTGTTAACGCAAGTAAAGAAATACA